GACACATTTAGCAGGATGCACTGTGACATCAAACTTCTAGAAACGGTCGAAAAGCAGGACATGATGTTTTAGATGTTACTCATCATCATGACTGGCGACTAAGTCACCGCCAATATAAGCATAAACATAGGGAATGTTTGTGATGCGAAGAAATTCTAACAAGTCCGAAGGGACCATAGTTGTCATTTTGGAAATGTCCTCAGACGCAATCGAAATGTAATAAAAAGCCCAGATCAAGTCGACTTCTGACGAAACGGTTTTGCGAAAGCGAGCTCCGGAAAAGTGCTTAACATTAAGGACCGGGTACCGATCAGGCATCTCGATACTATTAAAGGCTCAGTAATCACCGCAAGGTTGCCTATCGTCCGTCTGTTGTCTGGAACCCACGTGCATTGGAGATGCTGTCTAGTAATTCCTAGTTGCAACATGTGATCAAATTCAGCTATGGTACCCACAAGACGGACGGCAGCAAGACGGTAGGTCGAAAGATGTTTAGATCATCTCTGTTAGAAGCCGAAATTGACTATACAGATTTTGGCAGGCGTTTAAATAACATCTATTTAAAGAACACTCCATCGATGACCATGTTCGAAAGAAGAAAACGCATGTGAAGCGGGATATCCAAAGGTTTCTGACCACGCAATGCCTCTTCTTCAACGATCATATGATAACGCTGACGATCGCTACAGTGTACATGTAAGAGGGTAGCAACCAAGCCGATTTTTGAGGACGACGACATAAGGTCAAGGTAAGGGCGCGCAGCTCATTTTCGAAGATAAGTGTAGCTTTGCCCATACGTTGATATTCTTAACCAACTAATTTCTATTTTTACTTGAGTCCTTTTTAAAGGTCGCTTTTCACTCTCGGGTATAGTTTTTTCCAGTCCTGTTAGACAGTCTAGTAAAGTAGCCCTATTTTATGAAGAACCTTTCTAGTGACTCCGTGTCAGACCGCCTCTTTCTAGTTTTTAATTGGCTAACAGTACAGTTTGTTATTTTGTGCGTTTTGTTGTACGTTAGTAACGTTTGGTTCCTTATACTGCAACGGAAAACTTAGCTAGTACCCTGTAATGCCCCGAAGAGTACGCGCCAAAAGACGAAAGCTTGCGGCCTCCCCACTGTCTCTGAGTGCTAGAATCGTGACCGGAGACGCAGCAGGTGTCAGCATATGTTCGATGCCTTCCGTGGATATGGTTAACTCACAAATCCCTTTGGTCCAAGTAGAACTTCTTGACCCCCCCCCCCCCATCCAAAACTACGCCCCTTTTAGTTGTAACAGAACATCAGCCAACGAAATACTCGATCAGATGGTATATGGTGACATAAGCAGCATTTCTGAAAAAGCCATTGAACAAGCGTTTAAAGTTATTGGGATAATAAGTTCTGAAACGGAGGAGAGAATAAAATGCAGGCATAATTTGGTAGTGAGAAACATTCCGAGTCACTTATGTGCTCTGGAGGGAGCGCATTTATTCCTACAAAGTTGTGACTTGGGTTTCAGTGTCGCACAAGCTAAACGACTGCGCTCGCTCAGCCGTAATGCGTCGATGCTAGTTACCCATTTCTCCTTGATAGAAGTCGATTTTATCCTGTCGAGGAGGGAGCTAACTAGAGAATTCTACGGTAAATGGCACTCCTCTGTTTTGCCAGACCACACACCATTGCAACGAAGACTGAACAAATTGAAATTGTCAAAAACTAACACCGAGATGATGACACCTATTGTCAGTTTGAATAAGTCTTCTTCTTCTCCCTCATCTGCGGCCTCTGCACGTCGCGGCATAGTCAATTCCATAGAGAATTCGACTACTCTTGATGCTGAGATCTGTAAACGCAGCAACACACCTGGTATAAACACGCATCTACCAACATTCCCAGTAACCCTAGCAGGCCTAGGCATGTGCCTAAGTCAAAAGTGAATCCAATTGCCGTCCCAGCCACTCGGACACCTGGTAAATCCAGATCCATTAGGAAGTCTTTTCCTCCACAATCGCATAGCATTGCGTCAAACACCACGACCCAAAACGTAGCGTGTTTCTTACTACCCCCCCCCCTCCCCCAGCCCTCATATCGAGGCGGTTAGGCCGAATATTCCGACATTCACGCCTTTCAATTGAATTCTTGCTCCAATGGGAACAGTGCGTCCCCCACCCACCCCCACCCCCACCCCCAAATGTTTTCACCACGGTCGTTTTACTGCTGCATTCTTAATTCTAATGTCCATACTGGATCAGTTAAGTCATCCGCTTCTCAGTTTCGCTCCGGTGGAAATGCGTTGCAGTATCCGGCCCGTGGATTTCCAGCTGAAAATGAGTTAGCTAACAATGATTGCCAGTTTCCCTGCCCGTCATTTCCTCCCCCAAGTCCTACTCCTTTTTATCCACGTCAGAATATTTTCCTGCCACAAAATTTTTTGCAGAACCGGGTGGGTGCATTCGGGCCATGTCTTCCGTGAGCATCCAAGCACTGGACGACATAGCCCACCTCCCTCAGAAACAAATAGTATTTCACCTCACACTTTTTGTTCTAAGTGCCAGATCCTTGCTAAATAAGATGCTTTTGCTTCCAAATCCGGTGCTCATCCATTGTCCAGATATTGTTTTTGTAACTGAGACGTGGGCATCAGCCTCCGTAGCTGACACCGAACTCTCCTTCTTCTAGGCTGTACTTGCATTCGAAATGATCGCCAAGACAGCCGTGGTGGGGGCAGTTGCATCTACGTTAGGCAAGCCCTTACATTTCTACCGCTGGCCTTCCCGCATTTTTCCGCGGTAAAAGGCAGCTGCTGGCTCCAGGTTGCACTAAAAAATCAGTTCTCCTTACTCGTTGGCTGTGTTTATCGCCCTCCCAACTCCAACGACTATTTTGATCGTCTACTCTCACAGGCATTTCATGCTGCGGCCGAATTAAGCTTTAAGTATCAATTGGTTGCGGGTGACTTTGATCTTCCTGAAGTCCGCTGGTCTCCGCCTTCCGGTCCCAGAAGGCTCGAACATATTCTTGAGGCTGTAGAAGTTAGGATGTGGACTCAGGTTTTCGATTTTCCACCCGAGGATCAAGCATACTTGACTAATATTCTGACGAGGTTGCATGATTTTGTCAGTATCATCCCTAGGTCCACTCGGGGACTCAGACCATGACATAGTTGTTTCAACGTTGGAAATCGAGGTTGACAAAGCGTTGTCTCCAAAGTATAGCTTTTTCCGCGATTCCCGATCAACTCGCTCGACCAAATTATTAAGACACCTTAATTACTACGACTGGATTGATTACTTCTTAAGCTCAGATATAAATGTTTGCACTGCAAAATTGTACGAAATTTTGGATCCGCTTATTTCTCGTTTTGTCCCCCGTAAGAAAAGCATTAAGTCCCGGGATGAGATATTCCCACCCTTACCCTTTCGCCACAGGCTGCGCAGACTTTCGCGTCCATTCCATCTTCAGAACGACTTTTCTGTCCTGCCCTTGATTTGTGATACTTTTGAGCGGACTGAGAGGTAGTCTGAAGAAAAACAGCTAACCGAAGAGGTCCGGTTCGCTTAAAATCGTTCGTTAAATGTCTCGAAACTTTTCTCCCGAAAAGTACGATTTCACAGAAAGGCGCAGAATCCCACCCTCCGAGACGCTCTCGGGAATCCCATAGTTGATGCCCAGTTAGCCGCTGATAGCTTCAATGCTCTGCTGCCCAAAACATTTATTGAAAACTCGACCACTCCGCTTCCGATGGCGTTTGTGGTCTCTGATCTCAATGGCCGGTCTCAGCAGGGGCAAATTCTTTGGCCAACAGTATCAGCTGTTCTTCGGCGCGTCTGCTCGGACGATCCCCAACTTCATGAAAAGAATTGCGACTGATAATATCCGATACACTGCAACCTCTCCCTTCTTGACTCTCGGCGGTTTGTGGTCAGCAGTTTTTTTCTCTTGAACCCTTCAGACCACCATAAACTTTATTTTTATTTCCTTTTGACAGGAGTTTTTTCACTGCAGGCTGGATTTGTATTTAACATATCTCTGACAATGCCTGTAAACTGGCATTAAATACAATTATTATTATTACTATTATCAACAACCGTGGCCAGAGGAAGAAGCTTGACCGTAAGCATTGCATAGGATGTATAAGATGGAGGTTGCGTAAAAATGTTTGAACTTGGAGAAGGATAAGGGGAGGAAGACCCTCCACCAATTCAGAATGTTCGTCTCCTTCTTGTGTTGCCATTGCAGAATGAAAAGACGCCTAATACGGAAAAAATGGAGCTCAAGCGCATGTTACCAGATGTCTGGGAGGGACAAGAAAGCCTCATTAACGGGTGTGGATGCAGCGTTAATATTCGTAGAGTGCATTGTAGGGGGCAGAATTAGAGCTAGAGGATCAAATACGTAATGCAAATATCAGTCAGAAGATTTAAGGCATAAGCGTGAACGCCGAGAAGTCACCACTGTACGCGATGCGAAGGGCGTCATCAGTAGTCCCCGACTATCAATGACGCGAAGAGATGGAATTTTTGAAACAGGGAATGGTCACATGCTAAACTTCCCGACCATCCAGCAAGCCTGCCGGGCGGAAAAACTCCCTCAGGTTTGTGCCATTCAACAAAATAAAAAGTGCAGTTAAAAAAGTGACGAAATAGTTAAAGGCAAATAAATCTGGCATATCAAAAGATGTTCTTATCGATGTTGGGAGCGGGAGGGCTGGTAGCCGTTACCGGCATCGGAGCTAGGGTAGTGCAGTGACAGGGATGATGGTAATCCAGGTACAACTTACCGGGACGAAGAACGGCGATGGTCACTTGGGAACTGGAATGCTACGAGGTGGGCATCGCTGCCCTTAGCGAGACCCGTCTCTGCGAAGAAGGCCAACTGGAGGAGGCGGGTGCCGGCCATACCTTCTTCTGGAGCGGTCGCCCCAAGGCAGAGTGACGACACGCGGACGTCGTCTTTGCCATCCCGAATGATATTGTGGGATGACTGCCCTGTCCGTCCCAGAGCACCAGCGACCGACCAATGGGCCTGCGCCTGCCCCTTCAAGGATCCCAATTAGCCACCATTAAGAGCGCCTACGCCCTAACAATAGCTGGTTCTGACGAGGCCAAGTCCAAGTCCTACGAGGAACTGCACGCCCTCCTGGCGTCCGTGCCGAAGATGGATAAGTTGATTGTCCCCGTTGACTTCAAAGCCCGCGTCAGCACAGGCCATGCTGCCTGAAGAACAGTGCTAGGTTTCCACGGAATGGTCGGCTGCAACGACAGTGGCCTCCTTTTCTTGCGGACCTGCGCTGAACACCGCCTCCTGTTAACCAACACCTACTTCCGCCTGCCGATGGGGAAGAAGGCCACCTGGATGTGCCTCCGAACGCAGCGCTGATAACTGCCGAACTGCATTCTCGTCCAGTGGCGAGATCGGCAGGACGTGGTGGTGATCGGGGCGATCTGTGAGGTCGATGGCTGATTGGACCACCGCCTCGATTCCACGATTAAACTCCGTCTGCAGGACCGCATGAAAACACGATGCAAGCGACCTCCGGGTACGCTGAATACTGCTTTGCCGTTTTTGCCTGTTCCCCGTTTGCATTTCAGCAATCAATTGATCCAGCAGCTGGAAGACCTGCCAGGTGCAAATGAAGAGACCTCCGTGGAAACTCGATGGTGCCAACTATTTTATAATTCAGTATAATTCAGTATATATGAGGGATAGAGGCGGAGCCTTGGAAAACCCTATTTACAGATAGACGTATGAAAAAAACATGCAGATATTTACATAGCAGTTTTACCAGTCATTGATATCATGTAAATGTTTGACCATCAAGCATAAGTTTGTCTAGTCTTCTTTTGAAGGTCTCGACGTTTTCCGCTAAGACAACGGAGTTCGGCAATTTGTTTCATCCCTCAACCAGCCGGTGAGAGAAGAATTTGGCCCGCAAATCGAGTCTGGCATGTTTCATCTTCAATTTGTATGCGTGCCCTCGGAGATTTGTCGTCCGCGCCAGTTCGAAGAAGTCGTCAAACTGAAGAGCACAGTCTAGCCCTCGGACGATCCTGAAGGCCATGATCATGTCCCCTCTGTACTGTCTATAATAGAGAGGAAATATTTTAGCTTCTCCAGCCGTCTCTCATAAGGTAAGGCACTTAATCCGCCGACTAGCCTGGTCGCTCTACGTTGTACGTTCTCCAGTAGGGTGTAATCTTTTTTCGTCCAGGGACACCATGCCTGGACACAATATTCCAACATTGGTCGAACGTATGCGCCAAATACTCGGCCGAAAAGTTTTTCATCAAAATTGACGAAAGATCTTCTAATCGCGCCTAAAATACCCATAGCTTTCTTTGATACCTTAGCGCAATGAGATGATGGTTTGAGAGTTGACGTCATCCACACACCGAGGTCTCTTAACTCGTTGACTGATTCGAGTTGGTGACTTCCTATAAAGTACTGAGATTCAAATCTCAACGGCCTCCTGTTGCTCGAACGTAATCGGATAAGTTGGCATTTGTTACGATTGAGGCTTAGACACCACTCATCACACAATTTTTGCAAGCGATTTAAATTGTCTTGTAATTTTACAGAATCTTCCGGCTTCTCTATTGATTGCCACAATTTGAAATCGTCGGCAAACATAACTCGCTCGCAGTTCAGACAGTCCAGGCAGTCGTTCACATATATAAGGAACAGAATTGGACCCAGAACGCTTCCCTGCGGAACGCCACTGTGCACGGATGCCCATTCCGATTTAGCGTTCCCGATACACACACGCTGAGATCTGCCCGTAAGAAAATCGGCTAGCCATTTCAGAAGATTTCCATTCACACCCACTTGACGTAGTTTACATATAAGTCGTCTGTGTGGAACACTGTCAAAAGCCTTTTTGAAGTCGATGTGCACGGCGTCGACTGATAAGCCCATGTCAATTGATTTCGTAAAGCCTTTTTGAAGTCGATGTACACGGCGTCGACTGATAAGCCCATGTCAATTGATTTCGTCCAGCTTTCCATGGATACTAGGAGGTTGGTGAGACAAGATCGACCGCTTCGGAATCCATGCTGATGTAGACTGAGCAAGTTGTTTTCTTCGAGGTGCCGCGTCAGCTCCGTTTTTATTACTCTTTCCATCAACTTGCAACAGATGCTAGTGAGACTCACTGGTCTGAAACTATTTGGGGCTGTTCTCTCGCCACCTTTATAAATGGGGCTTATATTTGCTTTCTTCCAGTCGGTAGGCAAAGC